TCTTAGAAATTAAAAACATGGGTTTTACTCTACCTTATTTAGATGGCCACATTACTACAAAAATACTGCCTTGAAATCCACTAGCACTATTAAACGTAAATTCTTCTGTTTTGAAGAGACTCACTATGAACACTTGTAAAATTTTATGATGAGTTTTTACTCGAATAAAGTGAATTTCTTGAATTATATAATAAACAATTGATCTTTTAAGACAATATATATGAGTTATTAAATTAATCCAAATCTGTTCACCTGCCATCCCTCTTGCCTTTGGCCACTCTGCTTCTGCCACACTGGCCTCTGCAGTTCTTCAGTTATGCCAAGGAACACTCCTGCCCAGATACGTAACAGAGGACCTTCAGCCAGTAAATACCACGATGGCTCTATCAGTTTAGAACTGGTATCTGTTCTCATAGGTTAGTATTCATGCTGTACCAACTGCCAACTAATTTTACATTTGCCCCTGCATATAACCATACAGATAATTCCTTGGTTTGGTTCACATGTCTCAAAATTCATTAGGAGGACTATTTGGTCACAATGTTTAAAAAAGCAGCTCTTCCTTATACATACACACACACACCCCCCACCTAAACCCTGCCCTCATCATCACAGTCATTATCTCCTCAATCTGCTACATTTTCATCGCATTTACTGCACTCTGACATAATAGAGAACACTGTCCAGTACCAAGTGAGTACTAAACAAATATTTGCTAAACAAATAAATACTGAATCACATTTATTTTCCAATCTTCTCTTTACTAAAATTTTAAGTTATTTTAATAATCCAATTAAATAAGGAGCATGGATGTAGATTTGAGGAAAAGAAGGGCCCTTTAATTCCATAAAATATTAAATTGAAAAAAACTTCAATATATCAAAAACTGTATCATAAGCCTCAATAAAAAGGAAAATCATTAAAAGTAATATTGGAACAAGCAAGCTATATTACTTAAGTACAAGGTAAAACAGTCTTTAAGTGATCTGAAACTGAAAAAATGAATCGAGTACCTAATTAAAAGTACAGCTTTCCTCTCTTACGAACTGTTCTTTGTTGCATGTGTCTGATCATGAGTGCCGTTACCACAAATCTGTCCCTTCATGACAAGTTAGCAGTTTCAGTCAGAGAAAGACTGACTTCCCTCTCATAAGTATGCCTCTGATATTCTGGCATCCTATACCAAATTCTGACAAAAAGCCACAGTTACTAGATTTAAGTTAGCAGGTGAGTCATTTGTCTAAGATTCAGCTAAGTGGCTTGCTGCTTAACTCACCTGAATTTAATCATAAACTTTAATTTTCATTCAGAAAATTTCTTTTTTAAAAACAGCTAAATTTGAAGAAATATTAAGCCAACATGGCAAATAAACTTTCAAGGCAACATTTACATGTTGCAGTTGAACTAGATGTCTTTCTTACCCGTATTTTACCAAATCTTATATTTTACCTCAAATCCCAGCTCTGCCCACCCAATATTACTGTTTAACGATTTTCCTTTTATAGAGACTTTTATTATAGTTGTTGATATGTTAAAGTCTTTTTCAATTCAACATTTTACAGAATCTGAGATACTTCTTTTCCCTTTAACCTACATCCATATTCCTTAAAATAAAGTTTAGTCTCTAAAGTCTTGACTCTACAATCTAGACAGAATGGTTAAGAACATGGGCTTAAATCCCAGCTCTGCCTCTTATGAAGTGTGTTATCTTGTGCAAGTCATTTATCATTTTAAGCTTCATCTCCCCATTCATAATATTGTGTGGGGTTAATAAAAAAGTAATATTGTATGGGGTTAACAATAATACTTCATAGGAATACATAAGGGTTAAATGAGATAACACATATAAAAAGCTCAGCAAGTACCTGGCTTCTAGCAACTGCTCGATGAATTCAATTCTTCAAAGAATATTTACTGAACGCCTACTATGGGCCAGCACCGTTCCAGGTACTGGGGATACAGCTGCATGGATTATTAAACATAATTCTGGCCCTCATGGAACTTACATTTAACTTGGGGGAGACAATTAAAAATACATCGTATAACATAATGTTAGGTAGAGACAACCGTAACAAAGAGAAATGAAGAAGGGGAGAGGGAAACATAAGGGGGTGAGGTGTTATTTCACACATGGTAGACAGAAAAGGAATCTGATGAAGCAACATTTGAACACAAGCCAAAGTAAGTAAAGAACAGGCCCTGTGCATACTCAATGTGTTTGCTAACATAAGGGTGATGATAATCAGTGATCAATAACCCACGTTTACAACAATCCTTTTCATCTTCCCTATCTTTACACAGGCCTTGGAAGGCAGTGGAGGAGAAATCAGTCAGTGGAGGCTAAGGGATGAATGGCTCAGGCACTCACCAGCTTTATTATCATGAGAAAGTTAAATAATTTCTCTCACTCTAGATTGTCTAGTTTCCCACACCTCTGAAGATAAGAAAGAGACTACTTTGGCCATTGTGTACTCCACTTAGCATTATGATGATATATTTTCATGAGAAATAAAGAAATAAGTGGAAAGACAGAAGTAAGATGATATAAACAAATTATAATGAGACTAAAATAGCATTCCTTATGCAGCTAAAAATGAAGTCTGGCAAGATGGAATTAGACATTTTACAGCACATTGCATGGTCAAAGGCATTAACTTCTTACACAAATTAAATCAAGAAATAGATTCCAGTTATAAGAGCACAAATAACTTCTCAAAGGAAGATACATAACAGATAATACCACCATAACAAAATCCATACCAGTTTGTTCTCCACTCATCATTGAAAATTGTCTAACTTCACAACCTCTGCTTTGTGATTTTCTTTTAAAAGAGTAACATGATTCTTTAAATCAAGTGCATAACAACATTTATAACAAACTGAGATAATGATTTGCATAGTTCAAATATCAGTACTTTAGATCAGAGTAATAGCTAGATAAACTTAAAATTTCTACCTCATAAAACAATCTTATATAGCCTCTTAATCTTCTACAGCTTTCAGTTTACAGTTATTTTCATAGCTAGTGCTATAAAATCATGAGACAATCAGCTCCACAGCCAGTGCTGGGGGTTTGGGAGAAAGAGAATTATTGGCCATGTAACAGCCCAGAGAATTTCTTCCATTTAGGGGGTCTCGTTTCATGGAAAATTTTATATAGTGAGAGATATAGCTTTATTTGAAATTATATATTTCTACTCAAGCCCAGACCTGAATTTTTATGTGCCTCTTTTATGGCTTTGGTCTCTCAATTTAGATCTGGCTAATCAAGTAGACAATACAAATATTTGGTTGGCTTATAAAATGGGATATCAGTATCTCTGAAAACCCAGCTGTATATCTTGTTAATCTAATATCAGTAAAAAGTATCTTCACTACACTGAATTTTATTTCATACTGGGATAAACTGGAATTGAAGTTCATACTTTCACATGTACAATTAAATACACAAAACCTCTGTCACTTAAAGTGTTGAGGGAGGGCAGTGGTAAAGAAAAGATGTCAAACATGACCCCTACGTTTACGGTTTGAGCAGCTGAATATTTAGTGGTACCATTCACTAAAAAAGAAAGAATAAATTTTGGAGTTAAAGGTGATAAACTCAGTTTTAGGTGAAAAATATTAAAATCTTAGTTTAGAGAAAGATATAAACTTGACTTAGAAATAGAAATTTGCAAGTCACTGATGTATAAATAGTAAATGAAGTCATAAGAAAAGATCACTTTACCTAAAGAAAAGAGCTGTTAGAATTCTGCAAGACAATAGCAGTTATTCATTGATGAAAGAGGATACATTCATAGCATTTTTTTTACTAGAGAAACAAACGTGACAACTTGTTCCAGTCTAAAGGAGAATTTTTATAGGGTTTTATGCAATTAAAATGGAAAAATGGTAAATGGAAAAATAGTAATAAAGAATGACCCAATCTCATAATTCTAGAAAATTATATAAGAAGGCTAATTCTTAGCCACAGAATTAGTGTTTAGCAACTGACTCTCTAAATCTTCTGCGGGAGGAATGCTAAAGCTCAATCCCTCAGCAAAGGCTGAATAATATAATCTAAGTACAAATACAGACATTATGTTCTAGACTAACAAAGGGAAATATAACAATTGTTCTCGAAATTTCCTCAGATGAATCTGGATTATACACTAGCATTCTTGGGAATAACATTTGCTTCATATTAAAAATCAACCCTTATATACATAAAAACCAAATCAGCAAATATTTACCTACCAGGTTTTATGACTCCTATTTCTACACTGTCCTTCATAGTTGACGGCCCCCAAAGAAAAGGACTCTTGCCGACCTCAACCCAATTCCTTAAACATCAAAAGTGCTCAGAAGCTAAGCCAACTCCATGGTTCCAAAGTGGTCCAGGCCCCACAGATTTACCTTCAAAACACAAACCTTCCTCATACGCATTACTTACCTCACAAATCTCTTAAAGCACTAATGTTAATGTGTTCTGTGACAGATCTTAGAGGTAAAAAATGACAGAACAACCTCTCACTCAGCTGCCTGGCTCCACACTGGGAAGTTAGGATTTACTGCCTTTAAGAGTAGTAAAGTTCTTAAAAGTTCCAGTGTCTTATAATATATTGTAAACTTAGCATCCAAAATTAAAATTCTGATTTACTCATAATTGCTAGACATTTTCTTTGACTTCTACATCTCAGAATCTTTTATACACTGAAGCTTTCAAAGTCTGAACCTTATAAAATGAACAAAAGCCTCAGGTCTTTCAAGAAAAACTGGGAAAGAGAAAAAACCCAGACCATTCGTAACCTAGGAAACACTGAATAAAAAGGCAACCCATCTTAATAAAACCAAGAAAATTCCATGCTTCAACTATATTTGTACAGCGGTTATCACAAAGCCCTTTTGTTTCCAAACTTCTACAAATAATCTAAGAACTATATGTACTGTGAGAAATGTATACAAAGTACAAAAAAAATCACAAAACATTCTTTAAGAAAAAAGCGTATATATGCACCTACCTTAGGAATAGGATTCAGCAGAACTACACCTGATTTCTTCGTGATGACCTGTTTTGTTGTATAGTGATGATCTATAAGTTGAGGGATGTTTGAAAACCCAGTGCCTTCAAATCGATACATATTCTAGAGAAAGAACAATAAAGTAGAATAAACATGAAAACATTGCTTCAGCAGGACTACATGCATCAATACGTCAAGTTCCATTTAAGAAAAACTACTGTTGCACAATAATCTGAATGTACTTAATGCTACTGAACTATACACTTAAAAATGGTTAAGATGGTAAAAATAAATAAATAAATAAAACTTCAATATGCTAAAAAAACTTACCTTTGCCTTAATAAACTAATTTTCATAACGATTAAACATAATCAAAATGGTTAAAAAATAAAGGAAGAGAAAGAAAAACTAACAAATAGATCTGGAATGCATTTTGCTAAAATGATAACCAAAGGAAATAAAGCATGGGATACACTTGAGTTAAAGAACAAGGAATATGTTTAGATATATGTTTCATTTGATAAAACTTTCAAGATGAAAAATAATGTCAAATGTTTGAGGAAGTATATCCATAGTAATAAATGTTTTAAGAATATCTCTGATGATCATTTATTTCCTATTTATCAATACAGTATAAATTGATTTTTCTATACTGGGGTTACTTATGTATTATTCTTTCACCAAAAACACTCAGTCACTTACATTCCTTTGATAAAGAAATAAAATGAACCAGTGACAAAACTACAGATACCAGCATGCTCAACTCTTAGCACTTTTTGATTTCATAATGTCAAGTAACACTTTCCCAAACTCTGCCATGACTCATTTCCTCTGTCTTCACCTTTCAAGGAGGCATGCAGGTCAACTATCATATGGATGAAGTGATAGCAATAAATATAGCAAAGAAAAAATATCTTATTGGCCACACTTTTCAATGCAACAGACACTGCAATGTAGTGCAATGTAATCAAAGGTTCCACCTGATTGTTCACAAAGAGCTCACCTGTACATATACAGATGATATGAACAAATACAGATATGAGTGTGCTCTATTTTAACAAAACTCTGTTAAGAAATAAGAACTTTCAAAACTCTCTAAACTTGGATATTTCTTACATTACTGGAAGATTACTTTCACAGTTAAAAGATACAAAACTCAAAGCTCTTTTTCAATAGTAGAAAATAATATTCAATTTACCAGAATTTAATTTATATACAACTTTTTAAATAAGTATTTGTTTCATTAAGTGAGGAGCAAAACGTGCATTAGCTTACTTTAACACTTAACTATAGAAAATAATTTAACTCAATGTTATTTGTGTTATAGTCAATTCAGAGCAGTTGTTAATAAATTGCCTAAAGAATTTTTATATATAGCAGCCAGACCAGCTATGATATATTAGCAATGATGCTTAAGAATATTTCACACTGAAGACATTAATATATTACTAGGTGTGCAATGTACTAAGCAAGTTCTCTCAGTGTCTCAGCTAATTCATTAATAAAACAGAAATAATATTTGGACCTCCTCACACAGTAAGTGTGAGGCTTGACTAAGTAGTAACATGCAAAGCACTGCCCAGTATATGGCACATGGTGCACACTCAATTATTAACTCACCATACAAATAATAAACCTTGGGTTACAAAAATAATTACAAACCTAGATATATGAAAAGAAACATTTTCAGAGAACACTTAGGATAAATTACATTTTTTCAAGGAATAATGATTATCTGCAAATAATCAAATATCCTAGAAGGCATTCTTACATGAAATTGATTAAGAAATGAAGAAATATAAAAGGTAGAATGTGGAACTTACAACGATAATAACGATAACAATATTTCAAGCAAACATACAGTATTGTATACTTGAAACTTGCTGAGAGTAGATCTTAAGCATTCTCACCACAAAAAAAAAAAAGGAGTTAACTATGTGAGGTGATGGATGTGTTAATTATCTTGATCTTGGTAATCATTCTACAATGTATATCAAATCATCATCTTGTACACTTTAAGTATATACAATTATATTTGCCAATTAATTATTCCTCAATAAACTTAAAATATATAAATACTGTTTCTCCCCTTTTTTCTCCCTCAGTCTACTCAACATAGCAGCTAGGAGTTCCTGTTATAACAGATCATCCCATTACTTTGCTCAAAATTCTTACTTCCCTCAGAATAAAGTCTTTATCATCTCTCTTACCTCATCTCTAACCACTACCCTCCCTTTCATTGCCCACCAGCTGCACTCATTTGCTTCTTGTTTTATAAACATATAATATACATTCTTTCCCCAGGGCCTTAACATTTCCTGCTTGAAATGGTTCCTCAGATGGCCATATGGGTAATGGCTGCCTTACTTCCTTCCATCTTTTATCACATGTCAATTTTTCAGTGAAGACGACTCTGGCCACCCTATACAATATTCAATATCCATTTTCTCACTCCAACTAAATTTCTTACCTACTTTTTCTTACTGAATTTTCCTTCTCAATATTTATCATCATCTAATATCAGATATATTTTACTCATTTATCTTGTTTATTATCACTTCCTCTAGAACATAAGCTCATGAGGTCATAAATTTTTACATTTGTTTTCTTCATCACAGTATCTCCATGGTCTACAACAGTACCTGGCATATATTGCCTGGATAAATAAACATGTGTGAATGAATGAAATACAATGCACATAAAATGACTGTAAAGTTAAAGTGACAAGTAAGACAATTTAACTTAGAAATGAATACTGGAAAGTTCACACACTTACGCCAACTCAAGACATCAAAGTACAATGTTTAATAAAAAGCAAATAATGAGATGAAGTTTACACAGAATAAAATTTCAAAACAGCCACTAGTGTCATAATGTCTTATATAAAATTCTAACATATCTCTTATAACTAGAGAAACAGTAAATAAAAATAATAGGAATTTCAGTTTCCCTTTCTTAATTTAAGAACATATCTAGTTTTTAATTTAAAGGCAGTTTTCTACCATTGACATAGTAATCATGATGGACTAATACAGTGAGTGATACAAGCAGCAGTGCCTCCTTCATGGGCTGAAATAAGAAATTAATGCTAACTATTTTTTTAAACCAATCACCCCAACGTCAACGAAGGTCTGAATCCTAACAGAGTGCAAAACCAATCAGCTCACTTTCTTAAAGATGAAGACAAAGTACTGAGTCTAAAAATGATGCTAAGACTGTATGCTTATAAAGTTTGTCTAAACAATTAAAAGGGCAAGAACAGTACATTCACTAAAACTGTTGAGGGCTTGTTTCTTGATACACTCAAAATCCTGACTATTACATTTGACCTTGCACAGATCTATTAAATTTTTTATAGCTCAGATGACCTGAGGTTAGGTTCACACACAGATGGATTCTTTTTTAAGTTTTTCTTAAGAGAGAGAATCCAGATTAACTTTTAAATAAGAGCCTTCTCTGGAGCGAAGTTTGCTACTAATAATCACTTATGTGAATTCCAAAAGAAGCAATAAAAAATAGTAGTATAGAATAAATTTCTACAAAGATCATTTTGTTGATTATTTGTATTACATTTTAAATATCATATACTATGTCATTAAAAAAATGAGAAGTATGAATAAAAAATACAGTATGAAAATTTTTGTAAAATAAAAATTATATAGAAACATAATTAGAATATATTTTTAAAACTCTCAAAGAATACACACTGAACCCATAAGGGGGTGTTAATGTGAAGCACACATTCCACAATACATAGTTCTGAATTTTCACTGAGTATATATTACTTTTGTTTTTAAAACATTTAGTACATCTAGAATTTGTTCCTGAGTTATCAGTGTGCTATTTAAGAATCAATCATGCATATAGATGAAAAAAACAATCAGATTTGGTTGCTATACATATTTCCAGAGGACTGTTGTTATGCAAAGAAGTCAGAGAGAATGGAATCAGCACACAAAAATAAGAAGAGGATTTGATGAATGTATAATTTGAAAGAATATGCCTGAGTAGATCTCCTGAAAAACAATCTAGGATAGGCAGGCTTAAGAAAAGAAGAAAACCTAAAGAAAGAAAAATCATTTTGGAAGAGGCTGAGATTAATAACTTGAATACAAACAAAAGGCTGAATAAAAACAAAAGGCTAAAACACTCCTTTTTTTGGTAAAATATCTAAAAATGAAAATATAAAACATAAATTTTAGCTTTCTCAAAATAAAATCGACACTGAATAGTTACAAATAACTAATTAAACCAGTACACAGGATGGATTGTTGGGGAGTTTGGAGAATAATATTAATAAGGTTTTGGTATGGCTTTTCCTAGCTAACTATTATTCATTCTTCAGATGTTGTCTCAAACTTAACTTCCTTAAGTTTCCCAGTTAAAAGCTTTCATAGCACTGCGTATCTTGACTGAAGCATTACTGCGGTTTAGAACTATACATAGTCCTTGGTATAAGAATGGCTATGACCCTCCCCCCGTAGACTGTAAGCTCCATCATTACATCCCCGGGCCTTAAAAAGTACTCACTCAATTATTATTTCCTAGAAATTAATATTAAGGTTTTAGAATGGCTTTGTTTTATTGTTAAGAAGGAAGTTTCCTAAGTCTCTAATTGTGTGTCAGGAGCACAGAAAATGACATCTTACGTCTGTTTCATTTTGACTTCAAGGTACTTACTGCCTTTTCTTGAGTCCTTGACCAACTAGAGTAGAATGGTTAAAATAATCCAAAGTGTACAACAATAAGGCCACAAACTTGAAATTAACTGTCATTCACACAAGTTTTGGATTTCTACTCATTTTCATTTAGTCTTCCTTAAGACCCACAGCATGAATTTAAAAGGTAGTTCAAACAGCCTAGAGATTGTGGCAACAAAACAAAATAAACCTATCTGGTTACATTCAGAGACTAAATCCATCAGCTCAAAGTGGAACTTAGCACAGGACAGACATCCAATAAATATCTGTTGAATGAAGTGATGATTTAATACACTGACCTATGCAATTTCACAAAGTAAATACTCCACACAAAAGTGGAGGTGGTTTGGTTTTATTGGCCCATATCCCCGGCTCTTACATAGTACTCACTCAAATAGTATTTCCTGAGTGAACGAATGAAGAAATAAAAGATGATGAAATGCCATTATGTATAGAATTTTTTCCCGTTTTATTTTAAAATATTATGTATTATTTTTCATTTCATCATGTTAATTCAAATTTATTGACTCAATCATCCCTAATTCTGCATCTTTAATATTCATGTATTCTGCTAATGTCTCACCCCTTCTAGGTTTTAAACTCACTGAGAATTAGGCCATATATTTTTCAGTTTCATCTCCTTACACTGCATAACAGGGCACTTTACAAAAATGACTGTTTAGCAATTGCATGTCAGATAAACAAATTAGAGAAATATGCACTGGGACTTTCCTATTAATAATAGCATAAAAAAGTTCTTTCTGGAGTACTTTTGTTTTAACACATGTATTTTTGTTTTATCTTATACAAAACCAAGGATTTGATTATATATTTACTTATCAAATGGAACAAAGCTATTTGAACCTCTACAAAAATCTGTCAACATTTACAACACAAAATAAATAGCTTTAGGTACAAACCCTAATATGGTTTTATAACAAGCACCATAAAAGGCTAGTAACTATGGAAGAGGTCGGTAAATAACACTAGAATTATACTGTGAGATTCAGATACTCTTAGATTTATATCTACTTAATATTAAGATTAATATATCTGGCTTTATGAAATTAATATATTTAATGTTCAGTAAAAACTACAGTTCTTGCTTGAACTAGCTAAAATAACAGGTATTCTCTGTCGAGTAATAAAAAAATATAAAAATTGAAAATATCTGTGTCCATCTTGATCAGTCATAATGTTCACAGTATGCAAAGAGTTTCACATGTTAAAAAGTAACTGTGATATGTATACAATAATAAAGATTCAAAATAATTGTCATCTTAGACTCTAGTTGACAGAGGCAATGTTGCTAAAAATGACATTACTTGTGATCAATGAATACCTCAAACCTAAATATATAAATTCTAAAACAACATTTTCATTACTATTTAAATTTCACAAGTAAATTTCACAGGAACCAAAAAGAAATTTTTAAAATTAACTTTTCCAATTACATTGATATTTCTTACAAAATACATTTATATTTTTTCTCAAACTCATCAAACAATGGTAAAAATGCCTAATATCTGTATAGCATTTCAAACCTTACAAAGTACATGTTCACTAATTTGATTCTCACAATAACTATATAAGCTATTACTCCCATTAGTTCCCAAACCCAGGGCTTGTAAAGTGCAGAGCTGGGACTGAAAGCCAAGTCTTCTGACTCTGAGTCCAGTGCTTTTTCATTGATCCACTATTTGATACTTTTTCCATTCTCTAAAATCCCGTATTTCTTTATGTCTTCCTCTCTTAAGACACTGGTCCCTTTCATTTACGTACAGCTTTTATAATATACTACTGAATTAAAACTCCTTGATTGGAATATAACAGGCAATCATCAAATACCTGGTAATAAATTCCCCCATTTATTGACCCCTTCCAGGCAACAGATATATGAGGAAGGAAAAAGGATAATCCTTTTTTTTTTTTTAATAAAGATTGGCACCTGAGCTAACAACTTTTGCCAATCGTCTTTATTTTTTTCTTTCTGCTCTCTCTCCCCAAATCCCCTCAGTACACAGTTGTATATTTTAGTTGTGGGTCCTTCTAGCTGTGGCACGTGGGATGCCACCTCAGCATGGCCTGATGAGTGGTGCCAGGTCCACGCCCAGGATCCAAACCAGCAAAACCCTGGGCCGCCGCAGTGGAGCGCGCGAACTTAACCACTCAGCCACGGGGCCAACCCCCTGGAAAAAGGATAATTTTAGCAATACAAAGTGAAAAAGAATTAAAAACTGTCCAAGCACTTAAACTCCTATTTTCAATTGATTGAAGAGCTCAATATTTTATACTGAAAGTGAACTAAATAAATTTAGGCAATGGAAAACCTGAGGATTTTAAATACAAGCTCTCTTATCTTTAATAGTGATCTTTGCAAAATTTCAATGACAGATGAAGTCAAGTAAAATCTTCAAATGTGAACTTGTAACAACGTCTTATTTTTAGAATATATTCTGCTGTACCTTTAGTCACTTAAAACAAAATGGCAATACTAAAGACAAGTGATAATTTGCAAGCAGACCTTTTCCTTTTTGTTTCTAAGAACACTAATTCACATTCCTACAGTTACATTTTAAACTAGAAATGATAATAAGGGGAATATTTCAGTCTTATTTAATGTATGACATATTTCACAAATATTAACTTTTAGAGTTTATAAAATTGAAGGAACCATTTATATAAGTTATAGTTAGTTTATACTTTACCTATGATCTTTCCTTCTACAATTCTCATATCATTTTATAAATATTGTCAACATGATCACAGGTTGTAACAGGGAAGGTTATCCACATCCATAAATTAAAGTTACATACAAATCATAAAAGAGTTTGCCAAGGAAATAAGGAATTATATACTATTAGAAACAGTAGGTCAGATGTACAAGAGTAGGCAAATATGATTATGAGGTTGAGGTCTGAAAACCAGCAAAATTAACAAACTGTGAAAATTATAATACAAACTTTAATGGACTTATTCCTTTTAACCCATCTGAATGGCATCTATTTTCATTTAACTATAATTACTAGGGTGAATATATTATAAATGTCATTGAACTGATGTGAATATACTAAATGTCACTGAATTGTACACTTTTAAATGGTTACCTTTATGGTATGTGAATTTCACATCAGAATAATATAGAGATAGATATATTGATATATATATCCCTAAAACCCTCTGATTTTCATCTTTTTTTAAGGTAACTAGTATTACTTTAGTGCCTGGACATAAACTGAAATCCTATAGATAGCCAGTTTGAAAATGCATGCTATTTGAAATGACAAATAGAAGTATCAATTTCTTCACATGCCAAAAACATTAAAAATTTCTCAGTAGGTAAAGTTAAACAAAATTTTGAGATTACTCTTCATTTGTTTAACGCTTAATAAAGAATATACTAAACATAAAAATTAGTTCAGCAATACTTAAATTTCAATAAATTAGTATTAGAACAAGCAATGTGAATAGATCATTTTTTAAATTTTCCATCAATTTCTATTCATTGCTTTTTAAAGCCAACAAGCAATAAGTTATACACAAAGAGAAAAAAACCTTAATCCTAAATGAATCGTAAAACCAACTATCTTTGTCCCATTCATTAAGGAATTTCATTATCACTAATAATTTGTTTATTAAAAATCTCTCATGGTACCACTTTCTTTCTTTTCCCTTTTTTTTTTTTTTCTGGTGAAGAAGATTAGCCTGACCTAATGTCTGTTGCCAGTCTTCCTCATTTTGCTTGAGGAAGATTGTCCCTGAGCTAACATCTGTGCCAATCTTCCTCTACTTTGTATATGGGACACACAGCGTGGCCCAATGAGTGGTGTGTAGGTCCACATCCGGGATCTGAACCCGTGAACCCAAAGCTTCCAAAGCAGAGTGCGTGAACCCAACCACCACACCACCCAGCCAGCCCCTCTCATGGTACAATTTTTTAAAGCAATTTTAAGGTCCAGTCTCAAGAGCATAAAATTCATAATTAAGTTTCTCCAGAAAAAAAAAGAAAAATTATGATAATCACATTATTTCTTTTTATTTTTAATTTAAAATATTTTCAATGTTCAAATTTAACTTCAAATATTTTAAATATTTATGCATTTAAAGTTTATAAAAACTTTTTAACTTACCATATTTTATAATATATATTTTCTTAATAAGATTAACATTTCAGTGAATTTTGGAGCACTGTATTTAACAAATTCAGAAAAAAGAAAACTTAAGTGCCAGCTTTTAAGTGTTATTGGTATTTATCAGAAAATATTCATCATTTTATTATGATTATACCACAATGAACTACATCAAAATATAAACTAAATTGGAAACGTACATCAACAAATTGTATGATAAAGTGTCTCCTTTGTCCATCAGAAAATACAGAAAGGACATATTCACCAGGTTTCCCATGACTCTCTCGCACCAAGAAGTCTCCTTGCTGTTTTAACAGATCTTGCGCTTCTATTCTGGGAATTGCACCATGGTACCAGTCCTGTTCTGCCAGTGGCTTCTCACTTATGGGGATCGCATCACAGAACTTGAGCAAATATTGAAAAATAAATAAATTAGAGAAAATAGCAATGTTTTCTGGTAAAAGTCATAGCAATTATAAATACCTCTTACATATGTTCCTCCCTTTAATTGACCAATTAAAATTTATATGATGAATCTTAAATTTTCATAATTTTTAAAAAAAGTATCTCCTGGAGCACTAGTATTGAAGTTTAACGCAAATACATATCCTTTAATATAAGTTTATTTGTTTTTCCTATCCATTATACATAAGCAGACAAAATATTAGCATTTAGAGTTAGCATTTATAGTCTTATTCACCATATCATAAAATAAATCCATATATTTAAAATTTATCAACCAGAGAATTAGGATAAAAAAGGAGTATTATCAGAGAAATTTTCACAAAACGACTTCATTTTTTTATTTAAATTAAAAGTTGAGTTATGTCTTTTTACAGAATTAACTTGATCACACAGGCTGTGGACCATCTATGGTCATATGTTCCAGGAGCACTATCTAAGGCTTCATTTGATGCTGCCCTGCCGCTTGCCTTTCCATTCTTATCTCATTCCCAGGACTTCCTTAACCATTACCGCTGCCACATGGCTGGTCCTGATCCTGTGTAGCCACGGTAGATAAAACCTTAGGAGAAATAGCATCATCGAAAACCACCCATGTGCAATTACAAACACATGGTAAAAACAAGAGAGGAATATAAGCCATGAAAAGCAAATTCTGTTACTTTAGGAGGCCAAATGCTAATACCAAATGTTAATATCTCTGCTAAACAGCAGAGATAAGTAAGAGCTGATTATATTTTCTTGAAATGTTTCTAATTGATAATAGACAGAATCACACATTTTCTGGTAACAAGTAAAAAGTTGTTTTGTTTGTTTATGTCATCCACAGGAACTAAACTGCCCCAGATGATAAGAGTACTTTATGAGTAAGGTACAATAATGTGCACTAACTCTTAAGGTTCTCAAAATACAATTCACACAATGCCTCATGAGAAAGTAATTTATAAATTGGGAAAAATAGAATTAATAATAAATGAAAGGCAAATATTCACACATGAGGTTTTTCAGGCTCTTATTATGAACTCTATATAGTGACAAATATGGTATCATTTGGCAAATAAAAACTAGTTTTGAAGATAGCCTTCATTGTTTTGCACTAAGGAAGAGGCCCAAAAATTACTGTCAAATTTCCATTTCATATTATCCGAAATCCATCCCATTGATTTAAAAAAGAACCTTGAAAAACTCCAAATAGACTTCACTGAAGAGTCCACATTTTAGTTTCTACTTCTTCCACTTATGATATTCTTCAATTCTTTAAATATATATGTGGTGTGACTGTACATGGAAATTTTTTAGAAGCTAAATAACCCTTTTTTTGAGTACTAATTATGATAAATAAAATATTTCAAAAAATTTTAAATCATCTTCCCAAAAACCAGTTTAAGGAATCAAACATATGAACAACTAGCTACAACTATAAGAAGTAAAAGAAATTGTTTTTAAAACAAATGCATAATCCACACAAATTAACTTTTTGTGTATACTAAGTTTATAATTCTTAAAGTAGGTAGTCAAAATGATTAAATATTTATCTCCAAAATTTTATCACAGTGCATCTCATTATAGTAAATACTAAAATTTTTACTATAACAGAAATATTTCCAAGTCTCACAAATGACAAAAGTGTTTATTGATTTTTTCTCTTTTCCAAAAAAAATCAATAAAATAAGAAATTCAATGTTACCTTTTTGCAAAGAACTTGCTTTTATAATTATCTCCCAAAAAAGTCTAGATAATAGAAAAGCATCCCAAACAAGGATGTCATGTGCTTGATTTCTTGTTCTATTCAACCTATCCTCCCAAATTTTGATTTATTTAGAATTGGGAGAATGCAAAGCCTGGAGACTTCACTAAGTCAAAAAGACATTTAAAGTACAAAAGTTCAGCTAACACTCTGAGAAATTCATTTAAGGATCTGAAGATAAGGAATATGTTTGGAAAAAAGATCATCCTGAAAGAACACGTAAGTTTGCCTGTTTTAAAAAAAGAAGTAAATAGGAAAATATTTATACTGCTATTTCATAGGAATTACACTTCAGTCCTTTGGGTTTATTAGCTCCTTTTGGGTGGGAAGGGAACCTTAGAGATCTGGTATTCCCAGCCCCTAGACAATACTGTTATGAAATGGAGGCTGAACTTACTGTGAGTGTGTGTGTGTGCGCACACATTCACAGGGAAAGGCCGTATATATCCCCTGTCTGGGTCTATCAGGTCTTTCAGGGACTACTCTGGCATTGAAAGGAATGTTTTTATTAATACTATTTCAGGAAAATTCCAATACAATTTTGCAAGCTTGACAGTAATAAAATGTATAACGTATCGGCAACAAAATTCAACATCCCAAGAATCATAATGACGTCAAAAGTGAAATGAAGCTTTTTACCTCAAATATCATATCTTTCTAAGCCTCAGGAGGGAAAGATTTTTCCTTCTTGGTAAATTATATAAGACTTTTGCTAATTATGTGGGGGAGGGGAAGCCTCCTTTTTTAAAGTTATAGTTAATCCAATACAGTCAATCAGTTATACTTAATACGACAAGCTTTCCTGACTGACTGGGCTAGCTGTTTAGTTAGTTATTTTCCCTTCCCAGCAAAAACATACTGGGCTTAGTGAAATAAAAAGATTGGTTGAAATGAAGAAGCAATGAGGACTAAGTAATAGAAAATGAAAATATTTTTTTCTTGGGGGAAGAATAAGAGGCTATTTTATTTTTTCTAATCTTAGTTCACATTAATTCCCAAGTATATAATGAAGATTTGTATGCCTTTATCTAAAACATTTGAGTGCAGGATGAGCTCCTTTTTGAGACACAAAGGGAAAAGTGCTAAAAAAAAATTAAACTCTGGGTTCTATTAAAATTAGGCACCCAAATGAGAAACCATTAAAAAAAAAAAACCTAAAGAAAAGAGCATGGGAACTATACAAGCAAACCTCTCAATGAGCTCGAAAAAGCTAAATGAAACTTCAACACAAACATTTTATGAATTTTTAATAACCATAAAGATGACATTTAATTCTCTTTTCTATTCTTATATAAATTTAGTTATTAATTCAATAATCTAAGTAATAAATTATTTCAAATCTAGATTAATAATATACTGGGGTGATAAGTAAGTCACAGGATTTTAAACACTTCTCAAAAATTCCATAAAGACTCCTTCTTAATTTGAAAGGTATATATCACTGGGAAATTTTAGAAGGAAATAAGGAATCAAATATCATGCAATCAGAAGTAAGAGAATCAAACACTTGCAAAAGGTGGGAAATACTGGTCTACTGAACAGCAATTCATCTGATGGTTGTAAAAGCTATTTTCAGGGAAAGGGAAATGTAACCAGAGCTAGGAAAAGTGTATTTTATGCCAAGTAGAGTTTGATACTTGAACAAATGCTTAACATAAAAGGAAAACATGAATAATAATGTTCTTCCTGTCGTGTTTTTCACATTTCTAAATAGCTATGTTTTGAATTTACTGAATAAGTTAATTCTTAAAACAACAAAAAATATTCTGGGTATTTGATCTTCATGATTATCTGCCTTAAGGCTAGACAAAGAGGACATAAATTAACTAGAGCAGTGGGTCTATCTTTAACAGGCACTAGGGCCTATCTGTAATTCTACAAATTCTAATTCTTTTAGCAATAAAGTGGAATTGATCACTTTTTTCATGCGCTATCTTTAACCAAAACAAAGATACTTTACCTAATGTTTACTTTCCACAGTGAAACTAGCACCAAAACTCTTACTCATAAATTTTTTAATTAACAATTTTTTGTACTTTTTGAGAACTTGAGTTGGTTTAGTCTTTTTTTTTTTGAGGAAGATTAGCCCTGAGCTAACATCTGCTGCCAATCCTCCTCTTTTCGCTGAGGAAGACTGGCCCTGAGCTAACATCCGTGCCCATCTTCCTCTACTTTATACGTGGGATGCCTACATGTCCACACCCCGGATCCGAACCGGCAAACCCCGGGCCTCCGAGAAGCGGAACGTGCAAACTTAACTGCTGCTCCACCAGGCCGGACCCTAGCCTTTAGCTAATAATATGATTGTTATCTAGCATAATGACTAGGCAGAATTACATGCTGATCAGAGACTTGCATTATTATACAATTCTTTGGCCAAACTCAAATATTTACATTACTTCCACAAGTTCCCATTTCCTTGATTGCCTTTTTGTGCACCTTCTTGGATCTCTGGCAAGAGATACTATCTCTAGCAAAATATATTTTCTTAAAAGCCTTTCATTTTTCATCTAACACCTCTGTTTCCTCCAATGCCTTCAAATTTCCTCATTCTTTTCTTTTTTCTTCCTTCTTTAGCTCCCTTACTTATCTTCTCTTTATTAGTAATTCTTTTTTTCTTTTTATTATTTTACCCATTTACTTTTTACAATTATGCTTGTGACTCTCATTCATCCTCTCTCACCTAACCATTTCACAGAATTTTTTTCTAGTTTTATTTATTTATTTTTTTAAAGATTTTATTTTTTCCTTTTTCTCCCCAAAGCCCCCCAGTACATAGTTGTATATTCTTCGTTGTGGGTCCTTCTAGTTGTGGTATGTGGGACCCTGCCTCAGCGTGGTTTGATGAGCAGCGCCATGTCCGTGGCCAGGATTCGAACCAACGAAACACTGGGCCGCCTGCAGCAGAGCACACGAACTTAACCACTCGGCCAGACCCTCTAGTTTTATTTTTTCAGCATAAAATATTCTTTCCTTAAGCTCACACAATATTATGTATAAAATGTGCCACGATATCATTATTAAATCATTTTACTCAATTAACTGTATTTAGTGCTAATTTCCTTTACAGATCTCAACTAAAACTATTACCATATCATTCTAAGGAGTTAGTATGCAATTATATCTCAGTAAATTTAAACATTTATCAAGTTGGGATTGCCTATATAGAATACAGTATCAGTTTGGCATGATCTGGGTCATTTGTTTTAAACATTTAAGCAAACATATAAAAGAATAGATTTGCTCCCTGTACAGTGAAATTACAGATGATAAATCCCAATAAGCCCTTCTTAAAAATTAAGTGTGATAATGCTACTGATTCAAAACATGCAATTCTGAGAATAATATTTAGTTTTCTTAAACATGATTAACCATACAGAATTCAGGGTATGTATGGCAGTGATAGGATGCAAAAAATTTAATTTCTATTTTCCCTTGTTTCTCATTTTTCTACATTTTAGTGCCTAGGCAAAAAGAAAAAAAAGAAGAGGGAAGGTAAATTAAGACCTTAAGAATAAAGAAAAACAACTAAGATTTAAAATATATAATATTCAACCTGAATTTAACGACTTATGCCTTATTAAGGGAAGTACAAGATTGCTCTGCTAGATTTGAAGGAGAATACTAAAAAACACAAGCAGTTTATTATCCTATGCACAAAAAGAACTACATCCCCCTATGCCAATGGTGGAAGCCAAGCATTATAATACTAACATTATAACTGATGTACAACTTAAACATAGCTGAATTATCATTTTCTAATTTTCTAAAAAGAAGCGAGCAAGCAAATCTTATTTACTGTATTACTCTACATAATGGAATTACATTTTTATTTTCCAATATTTTTATTTTCTAAATTCTAGTACAAAGTAATTCTAAAATTAAAATAATATACATAACAATACAATATACAAAAATATACATTTTAAGAAGACAAAAGTTGACTAATTTAATAATTCTTCTAGTGTCTAAAGAACAATTACTTGGACCAAAAGGTGCTTTATTCTGATTTTAAAGAACATTTCTTAAAGAGTGCTACTCTTAGAAGAGTGTTATACACTCCATAGATCAGTAATACAACTAGTACTCATGAGGGGATATAAGATGGAACAAGTTGTTTGCTCAGCCACCTATTACAGAAATTCTTCAGTAAAAAGATGACTCTGGAGAAAGGGCAGTAATTTTGACATGACTAGAACAGATCTCATTAAATATAATGTGGTTTGAAAGACTTCCAGTGGAAATGGACCTTCATAATTGCCAGTAGGCTTTCCTGTTATGCAGTTAATCCCATCTACCATCTCTGGCCCCGACTTCAGAAGCAGTCTGGGACAGTTCTCAGTGCAAAACTATAACCACCTGCAGCATGGGAAGATGCTGGATACAGGTCTCAGTGCCCAGAGGTGCTAATGATAGGTCACTTTAGTTCTTTTCAAGAACCATATTTGTTTTTCTTTTTTTTTTAACTTTTTTTAAATATTTCTTTTCAAGAATTGTTTTTCTTTTTCTTCTAATTAAAGCTATCAAAAAACTGTCCTCATTGGGTCTCTAGAACTTCTCATTAATTCTTAATCAAGTCTCCTGCACTTTATTTCAAATGTCAAATCATAATAAAATAAATCCTATGAACTACTATCTATCTGTAAAATTACAAATTCACTAACTTAAGAAAACAAAAGTAAGAGCTGGGCCATGACTCTATCATGTAGCTTTTGCCCATAGTTATTTTTATTTTCATTTGCTATTTAATGCCACGTGAGATGGTCTGCATTAGTTCACAGCTCCCTCCCTATTCCTATAGAATACACCTGCATAACGAAGAGACAATGGCAGCATCAAATGCTAAAATATAAGTTGAAAATCTCTTTTATATAAAAATATAATTTTTTTCTTTTTTGTTCATTAAAATACTTGGTGCTTTGCCTCAACTGTGTATAAAAGATTGCTGCTTGAATGGAATAAATATGTTACATATTAAAAATGAATTACAGCAAATAAATCCAAAATGTAAAGGGACATTTAACTATTCCATGGTTAGGAAACACTTTTTGTTCGAAATAAGACTAGATCACATTATCTTAGCTAAACTTTTAAAGAATAAGAAATAATATTAAGATATCATATAGAAACTCGGAAAGACGGGGAAAAAAGCATGTAATTAGTTTGTATTGAATATTGTTGTTTTGACGATCATTCAATAAAATATCACTGTAAAGCTCTATTGTGAATGAGGCATGGCTAGAATAAAAAGTTTGATAATTTAGTTTCAAAGGTAATGAAGTAAGAAGAATACTTTATAATTTTACTATATAAATGGGCTAAGAATATTTTTTTGTCTTGCTTGCCTATAGCTGCTATTACTAAGGATAACCAATATTCTATGCACCACTGTGACAAGCCAAACCCAAATTTCAAACAGACTTTAATTTTATAATTAAAATGTTCTAAAAAATATAAACATACACATAAACCAATACAATTTAAAAATACATATATAATAATCCCTATTATAAAAATGTTTCACTGGAAAAGAAATTTGTTTATACTATTCTTCTAATAAAGCCATAAAGTACATAAAATGTTCCCTGTCTTATTAACAGGAAGTCTAAAATATAAATTTACTTCTTTCCTGCCTACATCAATGTTGCATGAGGTTTTATTATATACATATATGCAGATTCATATGCATACAGAAAAGTTAAATTACATACTTACTTTTCCATTTATAATGACACATTTACATATGCTATTCATTGGTACACCAGAAAGAAGCTAGACAATGACTATTTTCAGTAGCACATAGAGTTCATCCTACTTACTGTTGAAGAGCCCGGTGCAGATTTTGGAGACCTAATTATTCCAGCAATTGAATGACGAATAGACTCAAATTTGGATAGCCTCTCCTTTCTTTCCTGGAGAGAGCAAGAAAGAAGTCTTCAGCAATAGTAACTTATCCAGTATATACAGTTATGCTAGGTATTTAGGTATGTATCCACTGCTTATGTCCATTCATCATGTCTTCAAACTAAATAAAATGTAAACTTCCTGACATTAAAGATGATAACAAAGTATGCATATAAACTCTATAGCTCTTTACTTTCCTGGTCCCTCAATAAATGTCTTGATTTGGGGAAAAATAAAAATGAAGTCGAAATTCATGAGGTGAGAGAAAACAAGAAATGCAAAGAAAATTCACGGAAAACCAAGTATTAACATACAGAAAAAAAAGATACAAGCTAGAAGGAACCAGTCTAACATAGAAGAGTTCAGATAGCAGTGTAGTTGTGAGGGATTTTCAAGGAAAAACAAAATGGGGCAAAAACAGGAGGAGAATTATATGGAACGCATTTTTAGATGGTGAATGCCACTTGAGTCACTAGGAAGCTTCACAGAGATTCACATGATGATGATGATGATGATAACAGAGGAGGACAAAGTAAAATAAGAAGGATACCTAGTGGTGGCAGAACCACCACTAAGGAAGGTCAGTCCAGATTTCTATTTGCTATAGGATGTATATTTCTGAGTATCACATACCACAACTGAAGGAAACTTTTCCTTAAAATTTCAAACCTTTAGATCCATTTTACAAACGTAAGTGGTCAGAGGGTAGAAAAGAAGAGAAAGAAAGAGAACAAAAAAGAGAACTATGAGAAGAAGAAGAACAATGGCAAAGCATTTGTGAGAGACTGTAATGGAAGCAGTGGTCAATTTTCCAATAATGACTACATTTCAACTGTTAATCAGCAGCAGACAAAAGAACAAGACATGCTACTGTCCAGTGCTGTACTTCCATATGTCTTCCACCAGCAGTGATGCTCAATTTTACCTGTCAGTGGAAAATAACTAAAGAAGACCACAAATAGCATCTTTTGTTTCCTTTGTGTCCAACAGCTAGCGTACATCTCTGCGTATAGTAAATGTAGACATTTTGGTCATATGCTACCTGAAAAACACTGTAGTTTCTGAAATTGTTTTATCTCTCCACTTGCCTACTCTCGGTTTATTTACTGTTCGTTCTAATAGCTGCAGTACTAGCACTTCTTAGGGTTCTATAAACATATGCATATTAATAATTTAAAATCATCTTAGGATAACCTAACAGAACAGATAATCTCAACTTCTTTTTCATTATCATTGTCACTTACATTACTAACATGCTTATGATCTTATGTCAGTCACTAACTATACCTCAATTTGATCATCTATAAAATGGAAAAAATAATACAAACCTTCCTCAGAGAGAAGTTATAAGTAAATTACTACAAATGATTAAAAATTAACATGTTAAAAGGATGTGCATATTTAACAAAACTTAATTTTAAAACATAAATCTTTACTGTAGCACAAACAGTCATCGCCTTAGGAATGTAAGCCTGCATTCTACAGCCTTTACCCTAGCTGCAGCTTCAGTTTTATTTTTTAGTAAAAATCACCATAACTGAGCCACAAGAAGTACTGAAAGAAAAACAGCCTTGAAGTACTGAAGGAGTATAGTGACTTTTCTTTAAATCATGTCCATCTTCAACTTGAGTGTTTGGGTTTATTTTAAATCTATTTCTGGTGCTGGAGAAGTCTTCTGAAATAAAAATGTTTGAGAAGGTAAAAACTGATAAAAGATATAGCCAGGATGTGGAGAGAGGAAGAGTGGGGTGTAAGGCATACACAGTAGTTGTTTGGTAATTACATTTATGAAGAAATAGATCACGATGGTGTAAAGTACACATATTGGAAAGTACTATAGTAGCTATAGTTTTTCTACTCCCCAGCCCAATTTACCCTGTTTCTTATGCCTTTGGGGAACTTCTCCCCTGGACTCTGTGTGGTTGTGGAGGCGGCACTGGTGTTAAAAGTAATGATACTACTGTTGATCTTGCTGCTGCTACTACTGACAGGAAGATGAAATGAAGGTGCCAACCTCACCTGCTTGGCAATGAAAGCTTCCCAAGAAATCAGCAGGCACTTCTACTGTAAATTTAGGCTTCTCCTCTGAGTCAATACTCTTAAAATACAAGAGAGTGTATGGTCCCAACGTAGGAATACTATGAGAACAGAACTGAAAACTACATAGAAGGTTATGCAGAAAAGCAGAAAATTCAGGGGAGAGTTTTAAGTAGTAGAGAGCACTTTGTATATAATTTAATAATATTTACTGAGATGGTAAAAATAACTCTCCTCAAGTTATATCTTGGGCAACAAACCTACAAAAGGAAAGAGAATCATTCCTCCCAAAACTCTTTGATAATATCAAAAGAGAAAACATTTTCTTAAGAAGCTAATACTAGATAAATCTAATGGATAGGTCCAAGTGTGGGGTAAAGAAGACTTCAAAAAGTGCTTCCTTTATATTAAGTTATGAAGCATAATATATTGTCTGTTGGAAGGGATACAATTAGTGAAAGTGCCCTTTCATTTAAAGGTACTCTTTAAATAGGTTGATCTAAAAAACGTATTAGCAAAAACAATAAGTAGACCTTAGGTTTCATATAGGAATAATCACATACAAATAGAGTTTATAAAACATTTTAACCAGTGTCAGCTCACTTGGAGCTCAGAGTTCCACAAATAAAACATGAAATTCATTTTCCAAAGCACCAGTCTATGTAGCATTACATATGAGCTTTAAATTATGATCTACCTAATAATGCATCAGACTGTGCTGAATTCACTGATTTTTGTATCAATGAATTAAATGGCTGCTTTAAAAAATTAAAATTAAAAAGCTTCCCTTCAATTACCATGGATACAGTGCCTAATTCTGCCTACAGGCCTGCCAGGGCTGGTGATGATACATTCATTTTACCCACCTCAAGTAACGACAAAGTAAAGAGCTTTCTCCAGATAAAGGAGACAGTGATTAGTTCTGGCAAAAGGAGAGCCTCTCCCAGTGGAGGTAGTTGGGGGCTAGCGAGGGAGGGAAAGGAGAGGAGATATTATGAAATAATACCTGATGTTACAAAATAACATTCTGATGAGATGCCCAGAAAAATGCCATAAGTACATCTATAAACCTATCTTGAAAGAAAAGGTCTAGATACAGCATCAGTTTCACATCTCATTTAAGAATAGTTGCTCATTATTTTAAAATTAAATGAAGCAATGTCTCTCACTCTCTATCTCTATACATATGTATATAAAACTAAAGGACTGATTCATAATAACTAAAAGCTTATTATCAATTTTTAAAAACTCTATAAAAAACAATACCTAAATTACCCACAGTTCAAGTAAAACCATACTTATCAGGTTTTGAAATTATTCTTCACTAAAACCCTAAAAGTGCAGTACAACAGGCTCTCAGATTACTCCCACCCTCTGCCCACCAAAGCACCGGCAAAGACATAAAAGGCAAGAATTGACGTTTTGCTGATTGGAGTGACTGACAAAAATTAACAGCTCTTCCATATGACAGCCCATCTAGATGCTGCAGTAAGTTACAAATCAACAACTTTAACCAAAAAAGCACGTAACAGTTCTCCAAGCAAGGCTATGAAAGCAGGCACTAAGGTAGAAAGAATAAAGTTCCTGGTGTCAGAATGGATAAAGAGCATGACTCTGGGCAAATTACTTAACTTTACCCTAGCTCTCATTTTCCATATCAGTAAACAGGAGAACACTGGACTAGATAAAATTTTCATCTAAAAAAATCCGGGACCATTGTCCAACTCCTGAATCATCTGCATATGAGCATCGATCATTGATGAAACTCCCACAGAAGAGTCCCATGTGTCAGGCTGGCCGCCAAAGTTACTTCCCCTAGATTGTTTGGTCACATTCTGCCTGAGGTGCTCTCAGAACTTGACCCAATGGGAAGGCGAGCTATAGTGAAAGATGCCAGTGGAACACTCTTTTGTTAAGAATAAGTCACTAAAACAATAACCAAATATCATTCCTCACAGACTTCTATAAATAAGCCCAATCTAATAACGTTCTTGGAAGGAACTATGAAAGTGATTATTTGGCCCTGCAGTAACAGTCAGATACTTATTCAAATCAGGAGGCAATAAGAATCAAGAAAAAGATAACAATATTCATGCTCAAACTTCAGGCTGAGTGCCAAATATCTTTGGGACTACTTATGCAAAGCAGCCATGAAATTTGAAGGGATTTTGTGAGAAATAACTGCAGGGGAATTATAACCCCAGAGAAGATTGTCTCCTGAAAAAAAATTTCATGCTGTTGATGACTCCATAATGTAAATGAAATATGGCAAATATCAATATGTCCTTCATAAAAGGAATGTATTTATAAATACAAATAACTTAGTCTTTTGCAGATGTTGATTTGCTGGGGAGAATGAAGCATACACAGTTGCTATTCCCATCAGGATATAAACTTTAATTATTAGAAGAGTTCTAAATGATTTATTTTAGCAATTAGTCTCTGACTGAAGACAAATCATTTTAAAGTAACTAGTCACTGACTAGTTACCTGGTTTGCTGTGCTTTTTTCTTTGATTCTTGCATATTAACAATATTTATTAAAAGAAAGCCTCCTTGCTAAATCAAGCATTTTCATATTCTGAAATAATGAAATTGGAAATCAAATGTGCAAAAGGAATGATTATTAAGATTCTGTCTTAAAATAACAATGCTAAGGAAATCTATAACATAACAGAATAGAGTTCGGTGAAATCTACATTGCAAAATGTCTTATCATTCTTGTTTTCTTGACTCTCTATCTCTTAAATAAGATGATGTCTCCAGGGAAACAAGACCCAATCAGGAGGCTATAATCAGCTCCCTTGCTGTTCAATATCTAAATACAATTCACGTTCCATGGTGCTTTTCTCAAACGTATGAGCAAAATGGCTGAAGATATTCTTTTCATAAATTACCCAGTAGTGCAAGATGCACACCAACCAGTTTCCTTATGAGACCTCACTGACTCAACAATTTAAGTGCTGATAGAC